GATTAAAAAATAAAATGGGATTTAAGAAAATAAAATGGGACTTTTAAGGTGTAATTTGGCGTCATTTTTCGGACATTTCAATCAATCCTGCCGGCTAAAATAGAGTAAGTTTTACCGTAGTCATTGACGTCTGTCTATTCAAGAGTACACGTGTATGATTTTTATCGTGACTAGCGTGAGCGGGTAAGCTTCCTTTCGAGAATGAGCTGTTATCACTGTGAACAATGTTAAATTATTCTTCAGATGACCAGTTTATTTTTTAAAACAACTATTTTTTTTATTTAAAAAAAATCATGCCGTTTTCGCATCAAAATCCAAGCCAAAATATCGTACTACAACATCAATCTCTTCCGCATTGCGTTCAATAACATCAATCTATTTAAATAAGCTATGGTAATTTGAACACGTTGGCATCATCCAGCTTTTTGATTGGTTAATTAGGCATTTGACCTATTTGACCTAAGAGAACATGGCGGATATCCTACAGCATCAAACGTTTATACAAGACCGGAATCATTCGCTTACGATGAAACTAAGTTGACTTTTATTTGTATTTCATAACCATTCAACAAATTTATTTTGTGTACATTATTATAATCACTACTGAGTACAGTAATAATCAACAATTCAGAAACGCAGCATGCCGAGATTTTTGTGTTCGTTTTTATTTGAATATATTTTCGTTACCAATAAAATAAAAATCTCTCAGTCAATCAGAAACCTGGATTCATGCCTTTGAGGAAGGTCCCGTTTGAACGCTCACATCGTTTTTTTTTTTCGTTTGGGGGAAAACTAAAACTGGTCGCAATTTTCGAATAAGAATGAGTCGGCAATTTTTAGTGGAGTCGAAAATTTGGAGGTAAATAAAACACCGAAACCCGGCAAATAAATAGGCGGCCGAATTTTTAGAGGGGTCGAAATTTTGGAGTTTTCACGGTACTAATTATTCCATTTCAATGAAACTTAGTACAAAGATGCTCTAGGACAATGTACAAACCTAATTAGTTTGGGGTAAAAATCTGTTCATATTAATTCCCTAATAAGCATAATAATTCATAATTTTTTGGTTCTAATCACATTTCAATTAAACTTGGAGACATAGATTTTCTGTTACATTGCGCAGACCTCATTAGTTTTACACTCAAATCTGGTCATATTAATTTTCTGATTTGCATAATTAGTTTTCAGCTAAGTAATTTCGAATTATATTTAATGTGTCTCCAATACTCTCAGCACATGGGAGTTCTTTCTAAGCTTTCTTTGATTGGTAAATATTTATGCTTATTAATCACCTAATTAACATAATTAATTAACACTGATATCTCAATTACTGATCATCACATTTGGTACATAAATGCTCTAGAACAATAGACAGGCCTGATTAATTTTGGGTTAAAATTTGTTGATATTAATTCTCTAATTAGCATAATGATTCATAATATTTTTGTTCTGTTCTGTTCTGTTCATATTATATATACGCCTGGACGCCCTTTTCTTAATAAACAACTGATAAACATTGTGTGAAAGTTCACTCAAGCTAATTGTGCAAGCTATTTAGATTTGAACACACAAGCGGAGATAATGGCTTGTTTGCATAACCATTCAATCAGTAAGAAGTTTGCTAATACTCATAATTAAAATGGCTGTAACAGTTCCAAACCTATTATCGTTTTGTAAAAAGATAAATATAGTGCATAATATGGAGATCCTGTCATTACTTATTTTCACCATGTTTCGTTTTGATTATTTATGTACAGCCTTGCTAAATCTTGCTAAGCATTCAAAAGAGAGAATGTTTGTACCTGTTTTCTATATTTTAAAATCGTCTTTTGAGTATGTTCCAGTATTCATAATGCTGCGAAATTTCATTAGTCTGTAGCCAAGACTGTTTGGATAATAAAAAGCAAAAAAAAAAATTCACTCCCAAGTGCCGATGAACCTGTATGTATACATTAATAAGGAGAATTTGTTTTCTTTGCAGGACAAGATTGGGCTCTACTTGGCCCTCTCTTTGGCACAGTCTTGGCCATTGCTTACTTCTATGCATCCTATAGAGCTAAAAAAGGCCAGAAAGATACAAGAGTGAACAGACGCATCCAGAAAGATGTGCCAAAAGTGGTGAATATGGTTGATATAGAAGATATTGGAGAAAAAGTATCTTACTGTAGATGTTGGAAATCTAAGAAGGTACAGTGTAACCAAACTATGTAACAATTTTTACTGAATAAATGGGCTGTTTGGTGTCAAAATAACTCTTACCAGATTGAGGCCCTAAATCATTTAATTTAATTTACACTAGTGACCAAGTAGGAGGTGATTTTATCTTTATCACAAGTTGTCCCATCATATATATGTTATGTGGCTTTCATTCTTCATTTGTAATTGTATCAGTTAATTATTGAGACGAATTGTAAGTCTATTGGGTTGGACAGCTTTTTGAGATATTCAAGATACTACTATATTCATTATTTTGCACAAAATGACAATAGGCCAATAATCTGTAGATATCATACCTGACTCATGTACATATTGTAGTAAACTTTATGTTCCATTAGATCATAAACACTTACTCAGCTCATTTAGTGAGTGACCTTTGCATCTGCAAAGTTTGTTGATATGAGAATCAATGGTTCAAATCCTGATTGTTGCTGCTCACAAAAAAGCCTCATTTGTAAAGAGTGAGGGGGTAGTTTTAATCATGTGACAAGAAACTTCATTTACAAGTAAATTTAACAAAGAAACAATTGTGTCCAGGTAAATGGGTATTGTTCAGAACTAGTAAACGCAGACTGTTGATAACAAATAAACTAGTAAATGCAGACTGTTAAAAACAAATAAACTAGTAAATGCTGACTGTTTAGAACAAATAAACTAGTAAATGCAGACTGTTAAAAACAAATAAACTAGTAAATGCAGAATGTTTAGAACAAATAAACTAGTAAATGCAGACTGTTTAGAACAAATAAACTAGTAAATGCACACTGTTTAGAACAAATAAACTAGTAAATGCAGACTGTTTATAACAAATAAACTAGTAAACGCTAACTGTTTAGAACAAATAAGCTAGTAATCGCTAACTGTTTAGAACAAATAAACTAGTAAATGCAGAGTGTTTGAACAAATAAACTAGTAAACACTGACTGTTCAGAACAAATAAACTAGTAAACGCTAACTGTTTAGAACAAATAAACTAGTAAATGCAGATTGTTTAGAACAAATAAACTAGTAAACGCTAACTGTTTAGAACAAATAAACTAGTAAACGCTAACTGTTTAGAACAAATAAACTAGTAAATGCAGAATGTTTAGAACAAATAAACTAGTAAATGCAGAGTGTTTGAACAAATAAACTAGTAAACACTGACTGTTCAGAACAAATAAACTAGTAATCG